TTGTCCATTGTTCTGAAAAAAGGAAAATGAAAAATAGTTATTATGTATAAACAAAGAGTGTCCGATTCTTTTGTTGTTTGAAGAGCATTTTCCTTGTCACTTGATATCATATGCCTTCGGTGAAACAGAAACTTCTAAACTACCAGAAAGAGCCACAAGTTCTTTTCTTTCTCCTTTTCTTGGTGTGTAAATGTTTTGCTTATCATACTTTACCATACCCAAAAACAAAGGCAGACAAAATTTACACCAAGGATAAAATTGAACCGCAGCATGTACATCAAAATCAAAATCAAAATCAAAATCAAAACAATGGGCTCACAATTTTTTTTTTGATTTGAAAAGTAATTAGCATGTGATGAATACATTTTTATCAGCCAATCAGAGATGACTTTTTTTCCGATTTAAGCCCAGAGGCTTGTCGCTTTGTGCTGACCTAAACGATCGCAGTCTCTGGGTTCTCTCGTACACTATCACGCGCGCGCAAAAGAAATCAAGCAGGGGAAAGCTGATTATGACGTCACTAAATTAACCTACAAAAATCACCGACTAATATTTTTGGCGGTTGGCTTGTTCTTTGCGTGTTTAAAATATTAACATGCCTTCGTATCGAGATTTAAAAGACAAAATCAGAGTTTTAGAAGAGGAAAAAAAGACGTTGCGTGACGAATGTGGAGTACATAGCAAGAACCGAATTCACTTAGAGAGGAAACTCATGGAGTGGCAGGGTTATGCTGAATACAAGGACGAGATGTTAGCGGCCACAACGCAAGAGAGAGAAGAGTTTAAAAAACTGTATGAAAAGACGAAAGCTGAAAATAATATTCTGGAGTTTCATTTGGAACGTCTTCAAAGGCACTATCAGTTCCTGGAAAAAGGCTTTACATCATGGTTTCGCGTTGGCCAGCAAATGTATCATGAATATCTATTATATAAGGAAGCCTACTTTGGTCTGCTGGAAAGGTATACTTGGGAGACCGCAAGTGACACAGTGGACAATGACAATATTACGTCCACCCTGGCTATCCCTTTTTCGACTATGCAGCCTAAAGCTCCTCTCCACAGTCTACAAAACGGTTATCTAATGTACAAAAACGCGCTGACTTCTCCATCGCCGGCAGCTGTTCCTGTTTCAATAAGTGCGATCCCGCTCCAACCAGCCGTGGATTACTGTTCTTCTATGATCCAACCGATCAACTTTGGTGGCGCAGAACGGATTTTGATTTATGGTAATAACCAATCAGAAACTGCAGCGATCCGTATTGTAAACCAAAACATGGCGCTTCTATGGAGCCCACAGATGCTGATCAAACGAAGAAACCCACTTCAGATCCTACCAAGAAAAGAAATTGCCTGTGAACAGGCCGACAAGGAAGAGAACGTAAGAGAAAACAACGAGCACTGCGAAGTGGAAGAGACAGTAACAGAAAACAACGAGCGCTGCGAAAGCTTATCAGACCAGGATGAAGAGAATACATCGCTCGCTATCTTTGAGGGAGAAAGCGCCAAATTGAAGGTGAGCACGCCAAGGTTATTTAGAACAGTTGGAGTTGTAGGGAAAGTATAGGGGAAGGGCCTGCAGCACCACCATTCTTCCATGCAAACCTTATTGCCCCCACCCCCCGCCCTCTCCTAAGGCTTCATGTGTTTGAGTACCCTGGTCCCAGAGGTTTTTCTTGATTTTTCTTCGCGAAAGAGACCAACAGCAAGCCGCGAAGCGGCGACAACGAGTCGCGTAAGTGACGAGGAGAGAGAGAAAAACCTCTGGTTACCTTGGCCTCGAATCTCACTTTCATGCAGACGACAGCTGTCAAACGCGTCAAATTGCTAATAAAAAGAGTGACCAATGGCAACTTAGCAAACACGTGCTTATCAGCCGCTATTTTTTTAAGTGGGGGTAGACCTGGGGAAATTATGTTATGAACAAACCATCTTCACTCGGGTGGTAAAGAGTGATTTGTTAATCGGGGTCAAGCTAAAGCTTGTTAACGATGGGCGACAAGAGTCCAGGAATAAGAAGACCGCTTTATAAAGAAACCGACATTGTTCCAAACGAATGCTGCAGGATTTGCAGAATTTATTTGGGTATAATAACAAGGATTTTTCACAAACATTGTCATCTGTTCTGTCGGCAGTGTGCCAGCGGGAAGTTGTAAAGTTTGCAAGAGTCTATCAATCGCGCTTATTACATTGTTTACTTCTGCGGGGCGCGCCGTTCGCGTCGATTCGCGGGCATTCCCCTGAAAATAGTAATATTAATATGTATTCTGGCAATCTGGCTCGCGTTTTGGTTTGGTGGCTCCATTTCCTTTTTTTGTGGAACAACGACGCTAGGAAGAGTCATGCAGCACAACAAACCCTTAAGGTTCGGAATGCCTTACAGAGGTTTTTGTTGGCCCAATTCGGCTAACTCAATGTACCCAATTCAAACCCTTTGGGAATAAAACGTTTTGTTTCAGGAATTTCCATATCATTTAAATGTGAATGCCACATTATAATGCAAATGCAATACACAAAGAATCTTATCCCCGGGAGATTTGAATTGGGTACAACATTGAGTTAGCCGAATAGGTCTATGCCAAAAATAGCGTCGGTTAGATCTTTTTTGGGCGTCGCAGGAAAATCAAGCTGCACCGAAAATGATTACGCACTTGTACAAAGTTGTATGTTTTTTTTCCTACAAGGAAACTTTCATTCCGTATTCGGAGATTTTTTATTTTGCTGCCCTAAACAAGTTAGTTTATTTAATGGGATGACAGTATTGTAACAGAAAATATACTTTCCATGTCCGGTTGATAAAATGGTGAACACATCCTTTCGACTCAACGCAGCGAACAAAGCTTTCTTTTGTTGCTCAGTGAGACTCGGGAAAGCGCTCATTAAGTACCGAGGTCAAAATTTCTTCGAATATTCTTTCAGGAACAACATCCATGGCGTGCCTCTGGCGTGCCTTGGTCCCGTGCAAATGTTATTGCGAGTGCAGCATACAAACAATTTTCTTCCCTAGTTGAGAGAGGCAAAATGAGGTGTGAAAATCCTCAGCGTCCCCTCGGTAGTTACAATTAAACGAGCCAATCAAATTGGTTTGCGCGTTTGAAAAACTATCAACCAATCAACGCCCGAGGGTCAGATCCTGACCCTGTCGTCTGCATGGAAGTGAGATTCGAGGTCAAGGTAACAAGAGGTTTTTCTCTCTCTCCTCGTCGCTTTCGCGACTCGTTGTCGCCGCTTCGCGGTTTGCTCTTGATCTCTTTCGCGAAGAAAAATCAAGAAAAACCTCTGGGACCAGGGTAGTGTTTGAGCAGTTGACTATCAATTAACTCCCAAATAAAGCACTTATAACGGGGTCAAGAGAAGTTAGACGCATTTAGATTAAACACCGTCTTGTCGTCCACAAGATCAGAGCTGAAAATGAAATTTTTGGTCTGTTAACACTTGATGCCTGAACACTGAATAGTGCCTTGATACCGACACAAATTAAAAAAGTGTTGCGTTCATAGCTTGGGTTCCCTGCGACATGTAACGATCAGATTCTCCCCATTTCGCTGGGCCATTGCTGACAAGTACATAAGTCGTTAGATTGCCAGGACTTCTAGTAGGGTAATCTGGGTATTCAACACAGTGGATTGACTCTGAACAAAAAGAAGGCGTGTTCGTACAGGGATCGACCCCAAAGTGTACTCTATTTACAACGGGCACTGTTTTTTTTAATTTTTTTCGACGTGAAGCTACCCGGTAAAATTCAATTTTTGAAGCAAGGACTAGCTTACAAAAAAGAAAGACTGGTTCTCAATAAAGGATCGAATCAGTAATAAGTGAAAATATAAAACAAAGGAAGCAAGGCTGATTTTACAGTGGGGAATCTATATTTTTTATAAAGTACGAAATCAGTGGACAAGTAGAAAGAGTCGCTGACATGCAACCCCGGGGGGGTACTCCTGGGAATTCTTGATGGGGTGTACCGCCCGGTTCTCTAAATCCTAACCCTGTTTCAGACCAAGAAATGAAATCTTCCACAGCCGTTTTCAGACCAGACCTTTAAAATCCATACTCATTTTCAGACCTGGCCTTTAGGCAGAAATTATGTTATGGGAATGGCCCGGCAAATGCCCGGCCCCCGGGCAGCACAAAATTTGCCCGGGGGGAGGAGCTGGGCGCACCTGGAATTGACTGATGCATGATATAAATAGCCGCTCTTTTAAACAGAAGCAAGAGTATGACTGCTACCTAACACTTTCAGCATAATATTCTAAGCATTTCACAGGAGACTGTGCTTACATTGTAGCAGCCCGTTCCTGCTCAGACGTTGGGATGCTATATACATTGAGGTTTTCACAATAATATATTAACACCTGATTTTTTCCTTGTTGTTTTCGTTTTTTTTTGCAGAAATCCCGTGCTCATCGATTTGTTTCGTGGTTGAAAAAGATCTGCTGTTGTGGCAAGCCACAAACAACAGATTAAAATCATTTCTTAGTTTAAAACAAAAAAAAAATACAAAAAAAAATACAAAATTCCAATTAACGACAAAAAAAATAACACAAAAATAATAACAATTATAGTGTATATCATAGGTAGCATGCACACACGATATTTTTTTCCTGATTAGGTTTTATCTTTATTCCGATCCATTTTTGGTATTTAATATATTGACTTTAATGCTCGTCCTGCTACATGATGAAGAAGTGCATGCTTTGAGAAGAGATTGCATCTACCTGAGGAGCGGACCGCACAAGCCCATGATAGTGTCATTAAAATGCGATATGAGGTTAGTCGTTAGATTTAATATTACAGTTTAGTCCCCTAATATTATTTTAAAGTAAAAAGCTCAGTTACCAGGCATTTAAAATAAACCAATATTATTTACATTTTGGAACGAGACAAGCAAACAATCAATCAAACAAACAACAAAGGGAATTTCCCGCCACTAGAGACAAAAGTCCTATCCCCACTCCCCTTAGTGCTGAGTATGCGGATTGTAAGCACAGTATGCAAACAAAGCGATGCAAGCTTTTGTAGTGGATCGTGAAAAAGACGATTTTTGCCGATATGTAGCTTATTATGAGGATCTCTGCTCAGGTGAGGTATTCTTTTAAGTGCATGCGTTTGGTAGGTAGTGTTATTGATCTATTTCTCGTCTCTTTTTCTCACAATAGCTGTTGCGGTCACGAACTTCTCAACCATTACATTTGGTGGAATATCTGGATCTCTCAAATCTTGGCTTAGGTAGGCGAGACAAGAAGCAGTTTATTTGCCATAATCGAATACAATATTGCTAAATTTTTTTATATGCTTTAGTTTCTCTCGAAAGGTTGGAATTATGCCCAAAGTTAAAGACGGCAATCCTTCGTGGAAACAGAATTGAAGCGGCGCCCGATCTTCGATATTGCCCTCAGCTGTGGAAAGTTGACCTCGCCAACAACACGGTAAATTTGATCAATGTATATGCCCTTAGGGTTGTCTGATGTCAATTGGAATTCGTTACTCTTACTGCACTCACACAAAAACGTGTTATTGTTCTTCACCTGCAAATCGCATAAAAAGTGTTTGTAATAATCTTCTTGATCGTTAATCTTGATCGGTCATCATGCTGCAGGTACTTAGAAATGTACAAGAGGCAAGATTACACGCATGAATTTAATTTAGAAATCACTCAAGCGCCACGCAGCTAAAGAAGTTTTCAGAATCAAAACACTCTTTTCTTTCTTGTCTCAGTTCTTCTTTTATTCATGGCTATAAACCTAAAGTGGAGTTTAACGCGAACGTGTTGCTGCCTCTAACAATCTTTATTCATAAGAGTTTATTTACTTTTGTGTTTTGTTTTTAGTTACGGTTTTATTACAATGACATTCATACAACAGCTCAAACTAATTGAGAATTGAAAGCAATTGTCTCTGTTAAGTCAGGCGTAGTGAAGTTGTTTGAATTAAGTTAATTTTGTGCCTGTCAGTGTCCTCATAACAGTGTAAGCTTAATTAATATTTGAACTTTCGATATCAAATGCAAATATGAGTGACATTTTTCGCCCCACCAGTTGTAAAAAAAACCGGGATGTGACACGAGGTACCCACATTCTGAAAATTTGAACTCTCTTGGTACTCTTTTATCATCACGGTTTTACTGTATAGTGTAATTTATGTTACAGTATTTTCTTACTCTATTTTGCCCGGTCGCGACATATTAGATTAGTTCTTCAGAACTGATAAAAAAATAAAGCAATACAACAACAACAACAATAGCCTTTTGCCCCATGATATATGAGGGAATCCAAGACCATCTTGCATTCTAAATTTTATGCTGTGGTTTAATTCTGGATTCCAGGTAGTGGATTTTGGGTTCTTTGTCAGTGAAACTTGTATTACGAATTCCATGAAGCTCAGGGTTACAGATTACACAAGCAAAATTTCCTGGATTCCAGATTCACAAGCAAAAATTTCCCAGATTTTGGGATCCAGATTCACTTAAAACATAAGGGGGCAAAGATGATATCAGGGGGGTACTCCGGATTTCAAGTGACAGGGATGATCTAATGGGGGCTTAAAACCCCAAAAAATCCCCAGGGCTTCCAACAAAACCCCAAAACATCCCTGGACCAAAAATAACACTAAAAAAATCCCATACTGAATTTTCCAAGCCATAAAAATTTCCAGACAGCATTAAATGATATTACACAAAAAACAGAAACATTAGTTTTGAATACCCCAAAAAATCCCTACTTAAATCAAGCTACCCAATAAAATACACCTGTACTTGCCAAACTTTTCCTACCCACAAAACTCCAGAAATAAAAAATTTCAAACCCAAAAAAATCCTTTGATCATCCCTGTCACTTGAAATCCTGAGTACCTCCACTGGGCATTTGATATCATGAGCCACGAGCTCTATTAAGTAAACAATTAGTAAAGAAAACAAGTGAGCAGAAATCAGTTTTTTTTTTCAACAACTGAAACCTATTTTTTTGGCAAGATTGTTCATTTATTGTTAGCTTTTGATTTTAATTTGTCTAGGTCAGGAGTCTTGAGGGTTTATTTTATGTGGCGGCATTTGGAACATTGATCCTTTCTAATAATGACTTGGATTGGAATGAGTTACAGAAGATACGACATGTTCACATCCTGGATCTCACTCTCCATGGCAACCAGAAACTTGAAGTGGATGCATATTGTAAGTGTTCTGTAAGAGGTTTTACTTCCAAATAATTAGCAAACAGAGGAGTGTAATTCCTCTCCACTATACTTTCTGGAGACATTATATACCCCATGAATTAGATAGGATTTTAGCATGATAGCATATATATAGTGACTTAAAAATTATCAGTATTAATTATTTCAGTGTTCACTATAGCTCTTCTACCAGGA